TCCTTTTCCATTCAAGTCTGTTTCTGCTCATATTGAAGGTCAAAGCTTTTTATGGGGCCAACAAAAGCATATCAATTTAACTTGACAAATTTTCTCTTTTCGCTTCTAAACTTTAAGTGACTAGATAAGATTGTTACTAATATTGCTCTCAGGTAGAGCTGAGCTATCTGCTTCAAAATGTTTCCCAGTTCTTTTTTAAACTCAACAAATGAAACCTGGCATACATGATGCTACTATTTATATACTCCTTATTGTTGTTTTTGTTTTTTAAAGATTTTTATTTAAGGTTAAAACCAACTTCCCAAGCTAGTACCCCAAATTAAATAGTGATTTGGCTAACTGTAGGTTCTGTAAAGAGCATTGATCTCCTAACGCTCCCAACAACGGTCAAAAGGTCAAGTTGACCGTTCTTGGAATAAATGTATCTTTCATGTTTATCAAAAATTTAATAAAAACCTTCCAATTGAAGGATAGCCTCAAATCTCTAGTTTTGATACTTTGAATTGTTTTAGATAAAAACTACGTTTAGCCTTACCGCTACTCCTAACCTCCTGGATTTAGTAAGATAATAAAGAAGAAAATATAACATGTAGCTATCTGCTTCAAAATGTTTCCCAGTTCTTTTTTAAACTCAACAAATGAAACCTGGCATACATGATGCTACTATCTATATACTCCTTATTGTTGTTTTTGTTTTTTAAAGATTTTTATTTAAGGTTAAAACCAACTTCCCAAGCTAGTACCCCAAATTAAATAGTGATTTGGCTAACTGTAGATTCTGTCAAGAGCATTGATCTCCTAACACTCCCAACAAAGGTCAAAAGTTCAAGTTAACCGTTCTTCTTGGAATAAATGTATCTTTCATGTTTATAAAAAATTTAATAAAAACCTTCCAATTGAAGGATAGCCTCAAATCTCTAGTTTTGATACTTTGAATTGTTTTAGATAAAAACTACGTTTAGCCTTACCGCTACTCCTAACCTCCTGAATTTAGAAAAATATTGAAAAAAAAGAAAATATAACAGCACAGTCCCTCAGATTTTAAGGTAAAAGTCACTGTTCCGGACCTGAGAATCCAATATGGATGCTTTAAATTTAAAAACCCAAACTCATATCTGCAGCAGCAGTAATGGTTTGTATCTAACTATCTTCCATACAATTTTGTCGTAAACAAATTGCTACGGTGTATCTAGTAAAACTAGATAGGGAAGGAAATTGATAGCTTTGAGCTTGTTTTCCTTCTGATATTGAGATTTGGGGTATATAATAAAAGAAAAACAATTGTTTTTTTCTAAATTTTGAACTGGAACACAGTTAAGTTTGGATGTGATGACTATGTTTAGAGATACAACAGACCACAGCACAAAACAGCCACAGCCTCTAGTTCATAGTTCACCTTTGTCTGCTTCAGTTTCTACTGGGAGTTCTCAATTTTGAACAACACTTCTCTTTTTGGAAACATTCTGCTGAAGCACAGATTGATGCATTTAATATTTACCTGTCAAATACTGTATACCAGCCTGAGTTCCACTAAAGGAAGCACTAATACTTAAGTTTGAGGGTCATCGGTCTCACACACTGAGTGTGTGTCTTATTCGGTTTGATCCTTAATTGTGCATCCTCTGCTAGGGCCCATTTTAAACTATTGCAGAGGGTCATGTTGGTAAATTGATGCCTGGCAGGAGGAAGGTCTAATAGGTATGTTTATGGCCGCTCCCATACAACTATACACAACTTCAGGTTCCCATAGGTGGTGACCAAAGCAAACACTTGTCTCATCAGCAACCCAGCAAGGACAATATCTTGCTGAATTCTGCAATTTCCGGTTCCGAATGACGCAGTCAGCATTAAATGCTATTCTTTTGTGCTTGACACATGAGAAACATGAAAAGAGTCAATGTTCAATATATAAACCTTCACAAATATCATTCATCTACTTGACAAGCAGCGCGCTGGTGCAAGATCAGTTAAATTTCTTCTCGGAACATAATTGTGTTTGCATGACGGTAAATTTAATATGAGAATAGGTTTCTGTTTGGGACATCATGGAATATGATCTGTGTTTTCATGCTTAACTACATGTTGTGATAAAAGCAGAATGGCACCCTTATGGAAAATACACACAGTTCTAGTTGGGAAAAAACAAAATGAGATCTGATATCTGCAAAAAAAAAAAAAAACGACAACAAAAATTCAGTGTGACAAACAAGGCAAATATTTGTGTTCACATGCTTGTTTAAGTTTGATCCATTAAACACGATAGTAAAATTGTGATTTCTTTTGCATGTTTTTGTTTGTTTTTCAACTATCATGCAAAATTTACACATTATGTGACAAATGGCAAAAAAAAAACGTTTTTATTGTGATTTTTTATCAATTAAAACCAATACCTAAATGTTAAGTGGAAGGAAAATAGCCAACAAAAGTTTAATCCGCTTTTGTTTTCAAATAAAGATTCTAGATATAGATTCATTTCATTAAATCTGACATCCCTAAATAGAATCCAGGAAGAGGAGCCTTCAGAAGTTTCCTAATTGAACACATCTATTTGTGTGTAACTGAATCTCAGAGATCAGTTAGAGAGCATTACTCAGCAAACAGCATCAACAAAGCCATGGTACACAGCAGACCGGTCAGGGATGAAGCTGGGGAAAGTTTAACAATAATAATTTAACTTTATTGATCTTTCACTGGAGAGAGAAAGACCTCTGCATTCAACCCATCCCCTTTGGGAAGCAATTCAATTCAGTTAATTTCTATAGCGCCAATTCACAACACGTCATCCCAAGGCACTTTGCATTTCACCAGATCATCCAGTCAAATTGATTCAAAGTTTTCTATCTAAGGAAAACCAGTTGATTGCATCCACTTGCATCACACTTGCATCACACTATGCATGCTTGTAGCAACAGTGGAGAGGAAAAACTCCCTTTTTAACAGGAAGAAACCTCCAGCAGTGGGCTGCCACTGTGCAATGCCCGGAGAGTAGTGTGGGGTGAAGGGTAATGCTCAGGAACTCAGAGTGGAGGCAATGGGGATTGAGCCGGATACTTGCAATCTTCTCAGAGCACAAGCACACTGCTCTAACCACTAGTCCAACACTCTTGTGCGGATATATATCTCTTTGGTTTCTCACAGAGGATGGTTTCATTTACTATCTAAAAACGGAAAGAAAATATTAACACTTCAGTTGAAAATCTGGCTTAAAGGCAAAATTTAGGATGGAGGAAATCTAACATAATATATTGTGTGCTTTGGCTGCCATCTAGTGGTGCAGTTTTAAAACGACTCCTCTGACGTTCTAAGTGTAGGTGAGCCTTTTCAGCAAAATGCAAATTTACTTTTAAAGCAAATGAAAAGAAATGATAGAAATTACTTGAGGATGATCTATATATGTATATAAATTACATGTTGTGCATTTATTATGGTTTCCCATTATGTAGGCAGCACAAATACACTTTAACTCCTCTTATCATACATATTAATTCCTGTCATAAATAACTACCCAAATAGATTAACAAGATAGTGTTCTGCTGTAAGTTTAAAGCTAAAAGGCATCAGCTTAATGTGATAAAGACTGCCTCTAACTGCTTTCGTTAATCAGCTTATTACATTAAACTGCATGCTTTTTGCAGCTGAATTAGGCTTCTCTATATTAGTCTCTATTGTCTCCACAAGGACAGATGCAAAGAGTAATTAACGAAGCAGAGGTGAATCCAGTTGATTACCACTTAGAACATTAAGATAAGTGCAGATGTTGAACGGCGCAGGTCTTGAACTACTATTAGTTAACCAGGGAACTACATATCCATAGGCCTTATTCCATCTAACTTGTATGTATGTATGTATGAGTCCCTATGAAGAAATGAGGAGATTCCAAATGCTGAAAATATGCTGGTGAAGATTCCCAGTCATCCAGGTCATAGTCATTCCAAAAAAGTAAAAAAACAATCCATTGGACTTTGTTTCCAAGTTTGATGTTTCGTTTCCCATTTTTTCAATTCAAAACGTCAGAATTAGTGTTGGGCTGCTATATAAAGCTTCAAACCCAAAGCTAATTATGTCATTTTGAATTGAAAAAGCTTCCTGGAAGCAAAACGTCTTCAAACTTGGAAACAAAGTCTGGTGCATTGCTTTTTAACTAATGCTGAAAAAGGTAGTAGATGGAAAAGAATTAACTTGTTTTTTTTTATTTGAAAGAAAAAAAAGAAAAGTGTAAAAAAAACAACTGTGTGGAAACACTGTGAGTGTATAACAAGAATGGTCCAGGCATGGCCGAATGGCACAGACATTTAGAGATTTTCCATCAGTGAGAGGACAAGGTGACCTTGGCTAAAAAGGTGTTTTAGAATGTGGCATACAAGTCATGATAAAGCTTCCAATTAGGCTTTTCATCTTAGTTTATAACAGTGTTCTGACAAACATTTAAATAATGTGTTTGATGGTTTATAAGTGTGTTCTAATTTCCAAACACAATATCATAGTAAACAACCTGGAACAATTATGTCATTGCCTGACAGAAGGAATAGTTCTTGAACTTTATCAGTTAAATAAATCCTACTGCAGAGCCTGGACAACAGGATATGCTGCTTTGGTTCCCCGCAGATTCGCTGCCCTACTTTACACTTTCTTCTGTACTCAATGGTGTTCGCCCTCTTTGCATTAACAATAAATCTATACTCTTGTGGTGTTTTATCGAAAAAGCCAGTGAAAGGGAGCTTACAGTACAAGCAGACAATCTGATTTGATTGAAAAACTCTGCAAATCCCTCCCTGGCCTAAGCATTCAATCTCACATTATCAGAGGCACACAGTCCCTGCATAAACCCCCTTCTTAATCCCAAAGCCTTTTATATTTTATGGTCAGTGTGCCACTGGTTTGCACAAATCCCCCCCACACACACACACACGCCCTGCCCCCACCTATCTGGGCGTCTGAAAGGATGAGTCTGAGGTCAGGCACAGCTGGCATCATCATCCTGTAACTTTTTTTTCTGCTCCGGGCACATTTGAAAACGCGCAGAGATAAAGGGGCAGCAGGACAAGGTTGGAAGGACCTTAAAACATCCTGGAAGTATACGACTCCTTTGGTAATGATTATACTCCAGAGGATGAAGGGCTTCCATTTTGGGGATAAGCTCTGCACCGGAGTCCTGGAAAAAAAGACATCTTGATCATCCTTCACAAGCAATGCATGATTGTGCAACTTACAACGATGAAACTGCAAAAGGAGGCAAATAAAATGGAACAATAAGAAGAACAAACCTTTTTTTTTTTTTTCTTGCATCAATGATACTCTCTACATTTCAAATAATATGACTGAGTGGAACCAATACAATATCAAAGTCCTCTGGTAAAAAGATTACAAGCCTAAAAAGTTTCCCATCCTCTCCCCTCTCTCCATCCTCTGCATCTGAGAATCAGGACTTCTGTGGAAGAGACCCAGAGGAGCCCCTCTCCCACCTGGCCAACAAGCTTCTCGGCGCCTTTTGGGCACATTTATATAACTGTAAGACGGATAATCAGCAGCCTCAAACGATGTGTCTATAAACAGAGCAACATTAAGGAGATAAAAAGCATAAAGCGCGCTCTCGGTGAAGCTCAGCATCAGCACCAGCAATCCGAAGCGCGTCCCCGCCCCGGTAGAGGCTGCCCGAGATCCCGGGAAGAGGAGTTGGAGCTGTGCGAGTTAAAGTTGGGCTAAAAAAGGGGGGTGAGAGGATGCTGCAGAGGAATCTACGATCCAATTAACACAGCCTATGTGAAGAAACGTCTTTCTAAGTGAAGGATGACTTGCAAAATATTGAGCATATGCCTCTTATTTTTGGGTTTTCAACATTGCTCATCACGTAAGTCTTGTGAAAAAGAAATTATTCATGTTTTATATCTTATTAGTGCATAAGTAATTTGCATTTTTTTTTAAATTGTCTTACCTAAAATCGGCTTTATGTTTGGCTGGTGTAAATTGAAAAGTTAAGGATTGCATCCAGTTGGACGACAGTTGGAAAATAGCCTAATGGAGGGCAGAGCCTGAAATGTTGGGATGTTTGAAGGGCAACAAAGATTGCGGTCAAACCAGACATTGTGCAAAAATAAAAATGCAAAACATTGTTGATTTTGATTTTAGCGGCTCGTTCGACTGCTGCTATTTTAAAGGCGTCGGTGCGGGAAATAATACATTTAAAAAAAGTGCAGAGGCAAAGCGCGTCTGTCCTGCAGAGGGTGCGCATGGTGGTCCCTCTCCTGCACAGGACTGTCTGCATTGCAGTGCTTTCTCTCAGGCAGCACGCAAGTTATTTTGCAGCGTGCCGCACATCTTTACTTTAACGAGGAGCGGCTCTACCTATGCTTATAATAGAAGATAACATCTCCACATTTATTTAGAGGTTTATCGGAATCTTGCTGGAAATCTGCTAAACATATTAAGATGGTGATGATGGAGAGAGCAGAGCTCAGTCCTTATAGGACCAGCCCACTGCAGTACTTTTTTGGGAAGCTGCATCCAAATTACCTGGATATAAGGTGCTTGCACCTGCATGGGATAATCGTTGCAAAGCATTTAGCGAGACAGAGGTAGTCATTTTTGTTGTTGTTGATGAGACCAAAAAGATCGTCATGGATCCATCAGAGCTTCAGGGCATACTGATAAGCTGCCTTTCTGATGTGCGGCTATGACCTCACATGGTCTTTACTGACTCATCAGTTTAGGAATGCAGCATGAAAGAGCAAGAGTTGTAAAATTAAAGATGCTGAATGTGGAAAATGGCTCTAAATATGGTTAAAAATGTTTTATTTTACCCCGGTTCAGATGTATTCATGTTCTGATGAAAAAATACAATGTATTTCTTACACAAAAATGTTGAGAAATTATAAAAACGTTAGCATATAATCTAATCTAATCTGATGCAGGCTGCTATGTTCTTGTTAAACTTAGATGGTACACCCTGATGATACCCCAATAGAACAGTAAAAACTAGCCTTTAACCAGCTGAATTCTGATTAATCACTAATGCATCCAGGAATTGGATGCCTCCATGTCTGCCTTATAAAGGCATGTGGAAATAATGCATTATATTATTATAGGCTATATTGGTTTTGTAGACATGCATTGTGCTGTGTCAGACTGAAATGTGATGTGATATGCGATCCTAAAGCTTAGGACCCAGTTTTGGGGTGGGGCAGCAAAGATTTTTACAAATGCTTTGCAAAGATCTGATTGAAGATTTGTTGTGCTAGCAACACAAGCCACAGTAAGATAATATATCTGAATGATGAGCTATTTCGTTACATATTCTACTTTGTTTTAGAAAAACTTTGGCCAATTCTGACTGATAATTGCACAGGTCGTAGTTTTATGTCACAGGCAGTATTCTGACACACCCTCCTGTGAAGTCTGGCTCAGTATGAATTATTTAGTCAAACCACATTCACTGAATTCTTTATATTAGGTATTTCTTTGGACATTTCTTTTTTTTGTATATATTTTTGTAAATAATTCCACAGATCTGTTGCACCCAGTGTTGCTCCTCAGCAGCCAGTGTTGCTCCTCAGCAGCCTGCCAGGTTGCAACTTTAACATTTGTTGCATATTAAATGCAATACTCAGAAATGATGTCTCAGCGGAGACAGAGCAGTCTGTATCTTAGAATCAGACTGGTGATTCAGCTGCATCTGTACTGTGCTCCCAAGAGTTTCATTATTCTTCACAGAACCTTTATTCATGCAATGCATGTTGATTAGTAATAAAAAGGAAGCAAGTTGCAAAGTCATTTAAAAAATCCTAAGATTGGGCGTTCCATTCAGGCTTTAAGTATGGTACACATAAATTGCTGCATCACAACAACATCATCTTGGCAGGAAAGAGGCAGCAAAGCAGAGAATTCAAATTCAACACAAAAAAAAATGCTTGACATGCAAGGTTATTTTTAGCGTTCCGGTGAAGATAAAGAAAGAGGAGTGAGAGCAAGCAAAAAAGGAAATTGGACACTGACTGGGTGGAGGTGCAGACTGCATGTCAAGCTGAATAACCAGACTGAACATGCTGCATTCTACTTTTTTATTTCTGAAGTGAAACTCCTTCACCTTCATGCATCACAGGAAATGAAAGTGAATCAATTGGAAAGAAAAGAAAAGAAAGTGTGACTGCACCCCAGAGCTTCTTAATATTGCAGTGACATAGAGCAAGTTGCAGAAACGGGACGATGCAGTGATAGAAAAATGAATCTCTTATTGATCACTGGCAGCATAGGAGGGATGAATGCATGAAGGAAAGAGAAGGTCATTTGGGACACAGGTCACATTACCTCAGAACGTGCCTTCCACCTGAATATACAGCATGTTCACTTATAGAAGGTGACACAAGTATGACTTGGGTGGAAACATTAAATCCTAAAATATGCAGCACAGAAAAGGCTGTGTTTAAGGCCTGGTGTATATGTCACATTGCTGCAGTGGCTCAGAATTCAAATCACTTTGCTTTCTCATGTTTCTTTCTGAGGATCTGCACTAATTAAAGTACTCTGTTCCACTGCATTATTCTGTGATATGACACTACATATTTGTTTTTTTCATTAGCAGACTCCATAGTTCTGCCAATATCCGAAGTCTCTGCCACTGCTCTGGTTGCTCTTTTCATGGCATATAGCATAACAGCAACCTACAAGATAAAGGATCTTCTTTTTCCAGTTAGCAAACTGAATTAAAAGGGAAAATACCTTTAAGTAAAACCTTTAAATTATTAGTCTATCTGTATTATATCTCCTGGGAGCATAAAACAACAATATTCTGGCGCTTAAAATGGCAGTTTTTCTGCTGCTATTGAGGATAAAGGAATCAGATATTTCTTGTCTTATGCGACAGAAGAAATATTTGACAGAATTATGGTCACTTTATTAGCCTTGGGCCGGAGAGCAGACTGGTGACAGTCCTATCAGTCTCATAACAGCGTGCAGGGCAAATTACTGTCAGATGGTGTTCTCAGTTTTAGTATGACTTTCTAACTCAAGTCTTATCTTAAAATACAATGAACACAGAGATATATAAGTAAAGCTCTTTTGCTTTATTCTTACCTGTTGGTAAAGCACACAAAGTAAGATGCTCATCTGTCTTTAAAAACAGTCTGCAAATGCATTGGAGAGTTAAGTTTTTGTTGTTTCTAGTTTGTTAGTAACATTGTAGAAATAAAGATGCAAGGCAGGCTGTTTCTCTCATGAGATCCTAGAGCAGTCTGGTTGATTTATGATCTCTGCTCCACCTGCTCGTGATCCTGTGCTTTATTGTGAAGCATCATTTCACACAGCCTAAAACGACCACCTGTTAAAGTCGAACTCAGGCTATTTACAAAAGCAATCCTTCCTTTGAATTTCAGTACAGCATAAGAAGAATTCATCTTTGCCACCTCCTGACTTTGGTGTCATCCGTTTGCTCCCTGCAGGAGAATGTGTTGATCCGCTAATCTCTGGGCTCTATGCCTCTTCATTCCTGGCCTCTTCAAGATATAACTTCCTGTACTCTGCCAATTTTGCCAAACTCTATGGTAAGTTCTTATTAATGATCTGCATGTTATACCTACACTTGCTGTTCATGTAAATCAGGGATGTCAAACTGGTTCCAGAAAGGGCAGTGTGGCTGCAGGTTTTCTTTCCAACCAAGCAATAGCACACCAGACTCCATTCATTTCATCAAGTGAGTCCAGTCTTAACATGATGACTTGATGAGATGAATGCAGTCTGGTGTGCTATTGCTTGGTTGGAAAGAAAACCTGCAAAAACACAAACCTTTCTGGAATCAGTTTGACACCCCTGACCTAAATCATTGCAAGCTCAATATAAGCTGAAAGAAGCAGTGTTGTTTTGTCTTTCTGATACTAATTTTAATCTACTTTTTTGTAGGATTTACAGCACAGCTGTTCTTGAATTGTTACACCAAAACAGGATTTAGGCATTATTTTGTTGTTACCTCTTTTAAGCATGTCAGTTAATTTAGCTTTTGTTAATTCAAGAATTTTTGCTATAACAATAAAAAAATTAATAAAAACATTCCTTGATTTCCATCAAAAAAAAGTTTTACATTCATCTACATATAAAGAATCCACTTTACAGGCCTAATCTGGGAGGCACCAAATGGTTGAACATCTGGACGGTTATGGAGATAAATAAAGGCTCAAAATTAGTCATTATATTAATGATGTATAGGTTTTTCTCATCAATGCCAATCTGTTGGATTAAAGAATATAATCTAATATGTTGTGTTTAAAGCAGTTAGACAGAAACCAAGTTCATTTCTTTGTGACAAAAATATGTTATTAAGGAGTGAATCTTAGATTAATGCAATAATACAGAAAATGATAGTAAAAATGAGATATACTTAATTAAAAAATACAACAAATAGTTTTAGTTCAGCTTAATTACATTTCTTTTTAATTAAAGCAGTAGTTCACAGCAAATGAAAAAGTTTTCTAGGCAACAAGGTCCAAATCATGTTCCGTCATAGAATCCAGTTTGGTGCAAATTCAATCAAATCAATCTGGTTCATAGCCAAATGATCCAATCATGATGTCAGGTTCAGATCAAATTCCTTACAGTCACATTTTGTTTCCTTCAGTTGATCAGATTACAGAGCAATTCGGAACAGATAAACAAACAGAACCAGGACTCAATTATGGAGTCCAGGTAAGAAATACAGCAAAACACAAAAAAGAACAGTCCCAGGAATATTTTCTGTGGTAAAAGAGTTGAACACACTAAAGATAATGCTTGAAATCCCTTTATTATGATGGTGACAGGACTTTAAAGCACAGAGGGACTGAGCCAAGTACAACTTATTTACTTGTCAAATCTTAATTATTTGTTAAAAACATGAATGCATAGTTATACAGATGCTTAACTTTACTGACAAGAAGCACATAAACTAAAAGAGATCATAGAAAACATGACAGATTGTGCTGTCTTCATTGTTTTTACATAGATAAGGAACAATATTGTGATAAAAGAATTGTTATTTCCTCCTGTCTTTTTTAATGTGGTCTGTTGGGAGCAGTGCTGGTAAATCAGCTCGCTGCTGACATGGCGGCTCTCAGATAGTGCTTCTTGATGCATGTAGACTCCAGTCTTGCAACAAAAGAAAGATAATGTTAATTTATAGGCAATATGCATCTATGTGTTTAAATCTAAAAAAAAAAAAACATTTATGTCCAAACCAAGACACTGCAACAAGAGATTTCTATTGGATATAATTTTTTCTTTCTTAAAATAGTGTTTCAATGATATTTGAAGGTCAACTCTTTAATATTCTAGACACTATAGACAGGATATCTTAAAATGTCACTTTCTTCTCTGTGCCACAGGCAGCAGCGGCTGGTCCCCATCCCCCAGAGACAGACAGCCATGGCTGCAGGTGGATCTGGGCAGAAAGTACCGTCTGGTGGCGATAGCAACCCAGGGGACCTTTAATTCTTATGACTGGGTCTCCAAGTACACACTTCTCTATGGAGACAGACCAGACTCCTGGACACCATACATCATGAAAGGAGGAAACTCAGTATGTTTTATAGGCCACAGCAGCAGGGGTGGGATAAGAGACAAAACAGAGCTTATCTAAGGATTGAGCAGTTATAATGACATAAACACAATCTTTATAGCCGATTTAGGATATTTTAGGGATGCTTTGTTATATTTATTGCATCTGGGGCTGAGACAAAGTCTATCTCCATAGTGACAAAGCCAATCCTATTCTCCTTTCATCTCTTCAAATAGGGCATTAACACCATAGCAGGGACTCAATAATTCTCAATGCTTTTCTTATCTCATCTGTTTCCAGACAATGCCTGGTAACTGGAATTATTATCAGGTGAAGAGAAATGTCTTCCATTATGCCTTTACTGCTAAACACATCCGTCTGCTGCCTCTGGAGTGGAACACAGAGAATGGAGGAAAGATTGGTGTGAGACTGGAGCTCTATGGCTGCGCATATGGTAAAGACTGGCGATGAATGCGAAGGATTTATCACAGAAATCCACAACCTCTAACAACAGCTATTTGTTATCATAATACTTCTATATCAGGACAGATAAAACAGAAATAAGAAGCACACTGTATCTCAATGTAATTCTTCTGATCTAGTTTGCAACATCTCCTTGCTTTTAGATTCCTATGTGCTGCAATATAACGGAGATGACGCAGTGGTCTACACGTATCCAGGAAAAAGGTCACGTACTCTGCAGGACCACATCGCCATCAATTTTAAAACCCTGGAGCAGGATGGTCTGCTTTTACATAGCGAGGGGATTCAAGGAGACCTCTTCACCCTTGAGCTAAAGAAAGGCCGTCTCTATCTGCACATCAGCCTTGGTGAGATATAAGAGACAATTTAAACTTTCTGATTGAATTTCTTCATAGTGCGCAGAAAAGCTATTACAAGTCCAAACAAAGCTATGGAAATTAATTGAAACTAACGTAATAGCCTTACAGAAAGCAGTATAGATAGTTTTCTTTTAGCTTTATTTTTCTAACTGATTGTTTATGTTTTAAAAGCCTTCTTCAATTTTCCATTTGTTTCTCAGGAAGTAGTGTTATACACAAAGTCGATGGCCGAATCACTCTGAGTGCAGGAAGTCTTCTTGATAATCTGCACTGGCATTATGTGACTATCAAGCGCTACGGCCGGCAGGTGAACTTCACCGTGGACAGTCAGACAGTGACAGCTATCTGTAAGGGAGAATTTACTCATCTGGATCTGGATAATCAGGTACTACAAAATCTAAAATTGTTTCAGGGATGTTTGGAGATGTGCTTAAAGTTGAAACCGCTGGGTAATTCTCCTTTAGATGTACGTTGGAGGAGTAATAGAGCCGAACCTGCCTCACCTTCCTACCATACCAAATTTCCGTGGGTGTCTGGAAAATGTCTTTATCAATGGCATTAATGTTATTGATAAGGCCAAGAGAGAGGACCCTGATATACGTATTCCTCGAAAGGTAAATCTTTATATCAATACATTGTTAAAAGACATTTGATTTCAACTAATGTGGTTTAATTTCTCTAAAGAAAAAGATGCATTTTGCCTGCCGTGACATTCTTCTGAGACCAATGACGTTCGCCGGACCCAACAACTTCCTGCAAGTCCCGGGGTTCTTTGGAAGACCAAAGTTGTTTGTGAAGTTTAAGTTTCGCTCATGGGACTACACTGGGCTGTTGATGTTCACACGCTTTGCTGATAACCTGGGTGCCCTTGAGCTGGGTTTGAGTGAGGGTCAGATCAATGTCACCATTTTCCAGACTGGAAAGAAGAAAATTCAGTTTGGTGCAGGTAGATTTTCAGGATTTCTTACATGTTTTAAACTTGTTTCAGCTTCACATCATCCACATTCTAAATAGGCACTGCAGTCTTTTGACATCCTGGGTTTGTCTTCCCCAGGTTACAGGCTTAATGATGGTTACTGGCACACTGTAGACCTGGCGGCCAGAGACAACCTATTGACCCTCACCATTGATGAGGAGGAGGGCTCACCACTGAAGATCACCAACCCTTTCAGCATTCGAACGGGGGATCGCTACTTTTTTGGGGGTAAGTTGATTACTTTAACACCTGCAAATCCTTGATCTATCCCGATTGTTTGCTTTTATTGTCACACTACATTTCTTTTTATGTGTTCAGGTTGTCCCAAAACCAATAACACAATATTAAAATGTGAGACCAAACTGAATCGCTTTCACGGCTGCATGCAGCATATATTTATAGACAACGAACAGCTTGATATCGACATTACCCTGCAGCGACAGTGGGCTCGATATGAGGAGCTGTTGATAGGAACCTGTGGGATCACCGACAGGTAATAAATCACTCACTGAGGACCTAAATAGTGGCATAACAGTTGGTGACATTTAGCTTTAATTTAATATCCTCCAGAGCGTTTGAGCCATTTCACACTATCAAAGCATCGTAAATGAACACAATGTTTTAAGAATGAACTATTTTCCATCAATGAGCAATTTGAAAAAAAGCAAATATGCAAAACTTGTAAATACTTATCAAGAAACCCATTCAGTTTGTAATTCTTAAAATACAAACATCAGTTTACTTATTAGTCTTTAAAAATTAACTTACTAATGATGTAAGACGGAGAAAAAGACACACAAATAAGCAATCTAACAAACAAAAATCCTAACCAAACTTCCTTCTTTACAAAGACTTATTAAACTAGAATTGATAAACCTCTTGTCTTTTTGTTGCCTCCCTTTAAGTCTATGTTCTCCTCTTAAAGGTATAGTGGAGAATTTTCACAAGTTTTTGAAAAGACCCCCCCAAAAAAAAAAAAAGCACATGCACAACCCTGTACCCACGCTTAATAAAGGAACGCTTATTAAACGCGTGCAAGAGCATGCACAAGCCCATTTCTCCTTTTGCATGCTGTGTACAAGAGAACCCTAACCCTTTCGCATTGCTCATATAAGCTTACTTTCCAAAAGAAATTGAAATTTTTCCACTGTTGGACTCCCCTGCTGTAAGTGAAAATGGGGACGAGCACGTACGACGGCCTTACGTAAACACATCACCAGGATCATTGACAGTTAGAAGGACCACTTATTTTGATGATCCACCCGAAAAAAGAAAATCCTCCACTGTACCTTTAACTGATAGGGTAAAGACATCACCTGAACCTCTTTGGAAGAGCACCAGAAATACCAGGTCAAAAAGACCTGAACACTTTACTGTTGTCTATTTCAGAATTAGTGGGTTTTCTGCTCATGTGTCTCTTAGCTTGGCTGACAGGGACATTTTAGCACAAACAGCTTCTATTGGCTAAATGTCCGTGGAAGATTAAAAGCTTTTAAGGGCTCTGGTATTTTGCTTGGATTCAAACCAGGTAAATAAGATGGGATATTATTAAACAGTTATTTGAGGAGCCTGGACACTCCTCCAAATGTATAGAGGAAATTTAATGATTTTGCATAGCTTAAGCTAACAAAAACTAAAATTTAACAAAGCCTACATTTCTTTTTGTTACCTTGGCTACAATTAAAATAAAACTCTCCTACTCCTAAATGCTTGGCAGTGTGTGCTATCAGAGGAAGGAGTCGCCATGATGTTGATCAACCAATAAGAAATGGAATTGTTATAACATAAGAGGTAATAAAGGTGGAAATTATCTATTTTATTTATTTTACACCACATTCTTTAAGTCCAAAAATAATGGACTGAGTACCATACATGAATGGCAACAAACTTACTGAAATAAAAACTAGTTGGTAGAGTTTTTCCCCCACAGCTAAACACTCCATTCAGTAAAAAGGAAAGGTGTATGAAGGTGTACATTGAAGGTGTATATATTAGTGATATGTAGTAATATTTCAATTTACAACAAAGGATTTCTTGATCCCTTTATTATCAAAGTCAATTCATAAATCATTTACAGAAGAGTAGTTTTTCCACATATTTGCAATCCTGTCGAAGAGGATTAGCTTTGCTAGATAAAAGTCCAGCAAGAATATTTTTAAGACATGAAGAAAGTAGTTTCTGCTGATAAAAGTTCAAATGCGAGGTGTTTATTTTCACTACACTCTTAAATAATGTGAAAGATTTAGTAAAAAATACAACAAAGAGTAAGTTTGATGTGAAAAAGGGAATTCCTTTTATTCCTCCATTTTATTAACAATGAGTGTTTTTTTTGTTTTATTTTCTACACAAAAGTTACCACCCAGGCTGTTACACACCTAGGGCATCTATAATAGGAACCTCTATAAGAGAGAAACACAGGTTAGGGACCACAATAATCTGACGAAGGATGAGTATAAACGTGTGAGTCACTAACCTGGTTTGACAGTTCAGTACGTAACCAGAGAACAAGGATTATTCCAGCCGGTCAGCTGACAACAGAGGCTGCCGGAGAGTTCCAGACACTCAAATCCGAGCTGACGAAGGAAGGCAGGATAATCCAAGAGGGAGTCAAGAGAGATCCAGGTTCAGTCCACAAAGGAATCCAACAGGAGTCTGAAGACAGGCCAGGCAAACAAATCAGACAGGGGCAGGGATTCTCAAAGGTCCAATTACATAAACGGATCAGGATCAGACTATCAGATAATCAGAACACTATAGAAACACAAGAGAACTCTCAGCAATAAAGGCTCAAGAGTAATCTGGCACTGATGGCTGGGATGAAGGAGTTTAAAAACAAGAAGGAGCAGGGGGCATAGATGAGCAGTGATGAGAAAACAGGGCAGAGCTGGACAAGTCAATGAAATGAGCAATTAAGCCAGCCAGCAGCACCAAAATCATGAAAATCTGGGCGCAAGGAGTCATTTTATTTATTTATACCAAACTCCTTTAGACTTAGATTTTTTAGCATCCGTCTGTTTGCTTAAACTGAAATGTGTCTTAATTAAGAACTTCACATCTCTTTTCATGGATTTAACTTACATTTAAAAGGGCAGACTCAGTGATTACCACCGATCTCCCTCTATTTAACTAAATAGTTTAATAATTTATTCCTGCACCACTAAGCATCTTTTGTTTTCATCCACAGATGTACTCCAAACCCATGTGAACATGAGGGCAGATGCATCCAGTCCTGGGATGACTTCATCTGCATCTGTGAAAATACAGGCTACAAAGGAGAAGTGTGTCACATGTGTGAGTGGTGTTCAATGGCATTTTATTATGATTTTGCACCTTATGTAGAATTTCTTCTTCATATAAACAATTTTTTTTTTTTTTTATCTCTGTCCAACAAAAGCGGTTTACAAAGAATCATGTGAGGCGTACAGACTGAGCGGCAAGTACTGGTCTGGAAATTACACCATTGACCCTGATCTCAGTGGGCCGCTAAAACCATTTGAGGTGTACTGCAAAATGAAGTGTGAGTAATCGCTGTTATCACTAAAATACAACTTTATCTACATTGTTTACAGTCTTTGTTAAAAATAAATCTTACCAGTTAACAAATAGGTGGAGGGAAATTTTATGGAAAATTAAAGAGATAGATGCAGCAATTTCTATTTGTCGATTAAAAAACAATTTTCACCTCTAGTATTTTAAGTCTTTGAACTCCAGTATATTTTACTTTTAAATATAAATCTTTGCAGCATATAAAGCTTGGACTGTGATTATGCACGATCGAGTGGAAGGCACCAAAGTGTCCGGAAGCTCAATAGACAATCCATATATTGGAGATGTAAACTACTGGAATGCTACATGGGATGAAGTCAGTGCTCTCGCCAACACATCCATGTACTGTGAGCAGTGGATAGACTATTCCTGCTATAAGTCCCGTCTTCTCAACACCCCCAGTAAGTAAGATCTGTCTATATTCCATTGCTTATGTTCAAACTTAATTTTAAAGACTTTAATGAAACATGGACTTGTCTTTTAAAAATAAAAACAGATGGAAGGCCTTTTGGATACTGGATCGGTCGTAATAATGAGACTCACTATTACTGGGGTGGGACATTCAGAGAAGTCCAAAAATGTGGCTGTTCTATCAACCAAACTTGTGTTGACCCGAAGTTTCAGTGCAACTGCGATGCTGATTATAGGCAATGGTAAAAGATATCAACAAAACATAAGCAGTTGAACTTGGGTTTCTTGTATCAAAGTTCTTATTATCCTTCGTGGTGTTTCAGGTACTCGGATAAAGGCTACTTGGACTTCAGAGACCACCTGCCTGTGAGGAGGGTTGTGATTGGGGACACCAACAGAACCGGTTCACAAGCACAGTTCACAGTTGGGCCACTCCGTTGTCACGGCGACAGTGAGTTTAATTTCTTAATATTTTTTTGCCTAATGCTGTCCTTTTGAGAGAGAAAAGTAGATTTTAGGCTTTCAGTAAAAAAAAAAAAAAATTGTCAACGACCATAAAAATAGTTGATGGCCAACCATAAAACCATCATGTACCATGGGATGGCAACCAAGCTTGATCTTAATGTGTGTGTGTGTGTGTGTGTGTGTGTGTGTGTGGGGGTGGGGGGGGGGGGTGGGGTGGGGGGGGGTGGAGGTTGTTAACTAGGGCATTCGCTGAACAAAAAACCTCTACACCAATCACAGAAATCACATGACCTCACATTTAACAATAAATATGAAAAAAGTGTATATAAAAGTTATAGTGGAGGATTTTTGGGAAGTTTTTAAAAGTCCTGCCCTCTCCACTTAAAAAAAAAAGAACATGTACAACCCTGTACCAGTTCCCGAGAGGGAACGCCTATTAAACGTGTGCAAGAGCGTGCACAAGCCCATTTCTCCTCGTTTTAATAGCAGTGAGGTGAAATGATTGTCTCCAAATAGCATACCAATCTTTACCCCTCTAGTAGAAACTTCGAAATGGACACATCAGTGGGAAGCCCGACCTGTTCTTTCAGTGTACACCATCCCATGAAAGAATCTCCTATAACACCATGGTCTTGTTTCTCTCCTCTGAGGCTTTTTCTTCTCATACACTTCGTAGACACTTTTTCTATTATGACCCTCTGCCATTTTCAAAGAACTGCGGTGAGAGAGTTGAGATTCAATGACTGTCTGAAACCATAGCTGACCAGAAATATACACCTAAAGGTGCGCAGAAAAAGATAGCTAACTGGAGGAAACGTAGGACAGCCTTACATAAACATATCAGCAGAATGATTGTAATTTCCCTCTGGGATTATTAAAGTATGTCTGATTCTGATTCTGATTGACAATTAGGAGGGCCACTTATTTTGATGATCCACTCTGAAAATGAAAATCCTCCTCCATACTTTTAATGAACTTAAGATTAGAATAGAGAAGAAATGTATATCTTCTATTTGCGATTCTTATATTTCCATTGTGGCTTTTAAAACACCCTAAAGTAAAAATAACATCTAACTTTGTATTGTGTTAAAAAATATTAAAAAATTCACAAATCTTTTTTGCTCTTTCCTTAAATATGAAACAAAATGTATTTATTAATTACATATTTGGATATACTGTACTGTTTTGAAAAGTCCTTGAAGTCTCATTCGTAAGTGGTCTTGTCGATGGTTTAATACATTTTCCGCTCATGGAAAGTTTTCCTTTGATCTCGTTATTATAAAACAGAGACTTCATATCAGAATGGTCAGTGTTTGTTAGTAAATAATAAATGATGTCAATAGTAAAACAAGTTATAATTACTTTAGAAGGAGCTCTGTGGTAAGTGCTTTTTTGGGATTTCCTTTTCTTTAAATTCATTTGGTTTTCTACAGGAAATATCTGGAACACGATAGCCTTCACCAAACCAACCTACATCACCTTCCCCACGTTCAGGCCTGGATCAACAGCTGACATCTCCTTTCATTTTAAAACCTACCGTGCACCGGGTGTCTTCTTGGAAAACTCTGACGACCAGCTCAGAAACTTCATAAGAATCGAACTGAACAGTGCGTTGACCTCACCTGTCATCTTTCTATTTTCGTAATTCTGTTTTAAAACTTTTACCCCTCTCGTTTTTTTTCTTACAGCCACCCACAATCTTGTGTTTGTGTTTATGGTTGGAGATGGCATCCTTAATGTTACTCTTCGCTCGCCTGTGCCGCTCAATGACAACGAGTGGCATTTTGTTCAGGCTGAGATTAATGTGAAATTAGCTCGAATCAAGGTCGATTACCAGCCTTGGGCTGTCAGACGGTTTCCAGGTCAGACCTTTGTCACCATGCAGTTCACACATCCCATCCTTGTGGGTAGGTTTCTCAACCAGAACTACCAAAATTCAGATTTAAAAAATGGGATGATCTGTTTATATTTTTCTACAATAGTTTTGTAAATGTTGGCCTATTTATCACTCCCACTAGGTGCAGCCAACCGCACCCTCAGACCTTTCTTGGGGTGCCTTCGAGGGTTACGTCTGAATGGTGTTCCTCTTGATTTAGAAGCAAAGGTAAATGAAGAACAGGGTATAAGGAGGAACTGCACTGGCCAGTGTCTTAATGCCACCATACCATGTCGAAACAGTGGGCAGTGCATTGAGGGATATGCTTCCTACACTTGCGATTGCAATAACACAGCTTTCGATGGTTTCTACTGTCACAAAGGTAATCCAGAGTTTAATTTTTCATGTTATGAATGTAGCAGGTATCTAATCACATATTAATCCTTTTTTTTTAAGACATTGGCGCCCACTTTGAGATTGGGTCTTGGCTGAGGTACAACATACGAAAGAAGCCCATTTCAGATGAGGCAGCCTGGGCAAATTGGATCGACCCACACTATGACAATTTTAGTCTGGGTTACAACGACACGGCTGATGACATAGAGTTCAGCTTCAGCACTGTTCACACTCCAGCTGTATTACTCTACATAAGTTCCTTCGTTCAAGACTACATTGCTGTGATACTCAAGAATGACGGTAGGTACAGCTTAGGAAACACAGGCATTGAGAATGATAAAGGCTTCCTTTGATTGTTTTGGCTCTAAGTTTATCCTATAAACATTTATGTTATTGCTGCTCCTCTCACAGGTAGTGTAGACCTGAGGTACAAGCTGGGGCTCATAACACACAAGTACCAGCTGACTCACCGGAATCTGGCAGATGGATACCCGCACTATGTGAACATAACCAGACACAACCGAACCATCAAAACACAGGTTCTTAATTTCTTACATTACACCGTTTGAGGCATAGTTTGTGCTGATACGACCTTTGCGACTTTTATTTTCTAAAGAATCCTATGCTTGAGGGATGTGGCTTTGCTGTCTCTGATCCATTTTGCAACCAATTGGTAGTTTAGGGCTTTTTCTTTTCAACCAATTTCTGCTCAAGTTATAACTTTCTGTCACATTTATTGAGATTTTGTTTTTAAATTATATCCTCTCTTGATACCACCCATTTATTGATGTACACCACATACTTCACAACAGGGACAGTGTTCTTCAGCTTGTTGTGTTCTTTATTTGATTGTTTACCCAAATATAAAAAAAATCATTATGACCAGACACTTCCATTTTACTATCAGACGTAAAGCAATGTCTTCAAACATTAGGCTTTATATACCAGAATGCATTTGTGAGTTACAGTTCCAGTAGGGGCTGTTTGGTAGTTTTAACAGTGAAAAAATTAATTGCATAATTTACTTTTTATAAGTATGATTTTTAGAAAAATAAAAGTTACACATACCCACAGGTGGATTACATGGAACCCATTGTGGAGAAGATAACCCTTGTGGAAGATGCTAGGTTTGATTCTCCAAAGTCCATGTTCCTGGGCCGCGTAATGGGTAAACATATTGCTTACTGCTTATTAAACAGATTCTCTTTTAATTTTTCTCACTGCCAGTTATTTAGGAATTATCTTGAAATAAACAAATGTTTCTTTGCTTGTGTCTTGTCTTGCAGAGGTTGGTGACATCGAGTATGAAATCCAAAAGCACAATGCTCCAGGATTCATTGGATGCATTTCTGGGGTCAGATACGACGTCTATGCGCCACTGAAAGCTTTATTCCGTCCAAATGAAACAGATCCCCCCGTAACGACACAAGGTTATGTCTCTGAGTCTAACTGTGGGGCTTTTCCTCCTGTTCTGGGTTATGTGCCTTGGGAAGTGGACCCTTGGTTCACAGGCATAGGTGAGTTTTAAAACCTTCATTATGGATGTTTCTTGCTAATAAAAGAAACATTTCTTACAGGTCAGTGACTTACTGCTTCTTTTTGTTATAGAATATTTTTATATCCATGACGATCTTGGCTTGATCTGGATAGGGGGTAAGTACTTACAAAAGTGTGGGAATATTTCTGATCAGACATTATTCTTACACAATGTCTGATCAGTTATATTGCCACTCAATGCCACTCGTTGTCATTGAGCGGCACTATTTTGTATTGTTTTGTATCCCTTTGCTTTGCTTTATATCGGTTGATTCAATAGAAGCAGAATAGTCAGATTTACAGAAAAGCTTTAAAGGATTATTTGGGCATCTGGTTGCAGGACTGACTTTAACTAAAGGATTATTAAGCCAAACAAACAGTTGGAACTATTACTAACATTCAAAAACATCTATTTCTATAAGTTTAAAAATAAATGCATAGGCAGGAGTTATGCTGGTAGAAATAACTTGCTGTTTATAAAGGATTAAAAATTATGACTTTTCAATAGCATATTAGTAGAGTATAAAATAGTAGTATATCAAATGATTTTGTAATTCCAAATATATAATTTATTATTTAATCCAAAATGATATTAATGATATGATGAAAAGGTAAGATATTTTTGCAAATGTCGGACTTATCCACATAATCTGCTAGACATCACGTTTAATACTGATTCAAATAATCTGCAGATTCACGGAAGAACAGACGAATGGACAAATTAGAGCCTGTCTCCCTGTTGAGCAAATGAGGCTGAAGTATCTGGATTAAAATGCTGCAGAAACAGCCCCTCTGCTCCTCCCTGTCTGAGACCTTCACCAGATCAGTCTATATTTAGTCTGCCAAGGGTGCAGCTTGCTGTTCATCTCTGAATACCTCATCCTAATAGATCACTTAGCCTGGGATATTATGCAAATGCAGGACATCAGCATTTCATAAAGAATTTGTTGCGCTGTCCCAACAGCAGGACAGCAGACATCTTTTGTGGGCTGATATACTGCTAGAGATAACAGCTGAATGAGGAATAACACCTGCCCTCTTTTCAAATATTGGAGACTAAATACAGTTTACTCTGTCACTTATCTACTTAGCTGCTTTGACTCTCAATGATTTAAAAAATAAATTCCTATGATCCTTTCATGACCTATTCATCTCAAACCCCACCAAAAATATGTTGTTCAGGAGTCATAATGTGACATATCTCAAGTCAAGTCAAGTGAGGGTGGCGATTTGACAGGATCCAAATGCAGACACAAAAAGCTGAAGTGGTTTCTTGAAGGTTTAATAACAAAAGGGGTAGCAGAAGCAAAAACCCCAAAACACAAATCCAAAACTACTGAAAACCAGGAATACTCACAATAAGGGGGCAAAGAAATGATGGCAAACCAGCAAAGAGTGACTAAACAGGAGGAGAATAAATAGAAGAGAGAAACAAAGACCAGGCTAATTAGCAGATTGGGAGCAGGTGTGAACAGAGGCAAGAAGGGAGGTAGGGAAAAGGAGACTGACATAAGAAGGCAAACAATATCTAAGAACTAAAATACAATCAAAAATAACTAGAGCACAAGAATGGAAATAAAACTTGAACAGAACCAAAACCATGACAAGGTCAGTTAGGCTAACTGGGGTCAGAATAACAAGAAAGGCAAAGTATGTGGTTTCAAAATGGATAAAGGCTGGGACAAAAACGTCATTTAAATGCATACAACTGATCCACTGTTAGCTTTATATATCACATTAAAGTAAATTCAAACTATTTTCAACATCAAACCTACAGTAATTCAACTATTTCATAAATTGAATAAGCAATAAAGAATAAATCAAACTGCTCCTTTTTCCACTAAAGCATCTTTCTTTTCTAATTGCTGTTTTTTTTTTTTAGTTATTGCCCTCCTGGCCTTGCTGCTGCTCTTTGGAGGTCTGTACGCCATATATGTGTATGCATACCAGCAGAAGGGCAGTTACCACACCAATGAACCTAAAAATCTGGAGTCTCCAAGCAGCTCCAGGCCACTGACCGAGACCCTGAGGAGAGAAAAAAAGCATCTACCGGAAATTGAAGAGGAATTCCGAAGTGGCTAACATCACAGGACTCTTGGGACACTGGGTGGGGGTTAGGATGGGTTTGGATAAGGGGAACTAGCACTTACAGAAACCACAGATACCTGTAGTAAGTTTTCTAATTGTTTGGTTTTCTTTTTTATGTTCAGTTTTGTGTTTTGTTCGACGGGTGAGCGTCATAAAACACACCTGGTGCTCTGTTTTACACAGTCCTTGTTTTAGTGAGGTCAAAGCTTAAATCAAGCCCCATGTTGCATGAGTAGCCAACGAGTCTCACGCTGTATTACAGGGTGAAATACTGAAGTGCCTCATCTGAGCAAGCATAATCTGAACGCATTCTAGATTCACCAGAGAGTGAATAAGACACTGTGGGTAGAAAAGCAGGATATATTCCAGCTTTTATTGATGATTTCCTTTCTGAGCCATTTATGAGACAGATGAAATTCATCAATAGCTTTCTATATAGTGATTGCCATCTGAATTATACCTTTTATAGACGTTCTCAGATGAGCCAATTCTGAAACTTTAGATTGTTAACAATCCTGGATATTGACAGATTATTAAAAGTGAGCTGCAAGCATCCGAATCTTAGTAAGAAAAATTGTGTTTATGAACTTAATCCATCTTGTAAAATGTATATCTTCTTCTATTTGTTGTATAGCAGTCTATAACAACAAATTATCTATACAGAATGGCACTTTTAAGTGGATCAGATTTGCCATAGAATTGCTAGATTGCTGCTTTGTTGAGTAGCCTGCTCAGATTCACAACACATGGTGATGTGGAGTGAGAATTTGAAGAAAAGTACCTCAGACCTTTAGAGATGTGGACGGTGTGACACAGGTGTCAACAGGAAAAAAAGAAAAAAAAAAGAAGAAAAAACAGTTCTTTTGGGGAAGAGTGACCTAAAATGTCCATTCCTTCGCTTACTTCTGGTCACTTTCAATATGGTCAAGCTGTCAGCAGCTTGGTGCTACAGTGTTTGACAGACAGCTCTACTGACAGTGTTAAAAATGCTAATATACAAACAAATCTTCCCTTCCATGATCCTTCCTTTTAAATGACTAATTTCAGGGAACAGCTGCTCTCTATTGCCATATAGGAAACACACACAAAACAACAATTTTACCAAGGACCACAATAACACAGTCTAAGCCTATTTTTTTATACATCAGACACTGCAAGAAAATGTTTGCTTCACAGTGTAGCTGATCACAGTCATTGCTGCTACTGCTTAGTTTGCTGCTTTCATAAAAAACAAACAAAAAAATAACTTTAGTCCAAATAAATGTTGATAGGAAGAACTTTAGTTGACTTGTGATGCAACCAAAGCATAGCGCCACCATCCTCCCATGCAGCTCCCACCAATAAAGCACTATTGTGTTTGTGAAGTAAACTGTTTAAAAAAGGTGTACATTCTAGCTATGCATAGGTAGAGCATGAACGCACTTTGCAGTAACATGCAATAATATAAGCTTCTTCCAGTCACTTGCACTGTTTATTTGGATTTGCAGATGTTGCATATCGACTAGGAGGTCATGAAAAGTCTATATGTGAACCTTTAATAATCCACTGGATGACTTTTTTTTTACTGCTAGAGTTTATACACTTTAAGCTTTGGAGTGCTCTGAATGTAAATCCTTTGACTCTGCAATGTATAAGCAGACACTACAGTGAAGGCTTGCACTAATTTTTTTCTTGACTGCTTATTCTGAAAGTATCATGTAGATTGCTCAGGTTAAAGGAAGCACAGTGCTCTGCTGTCTGTAGAGCTAATACACCTCCACCACAACACAATAGTGATGGCTTTCTTCCATTACAGAAAAGCAGAACTGTGCTAAATTATACAGGGAGTGAATGTACAGTAGATGTACAAAAAAAATATATACTGCAATTACTGTACAGTAAAGAAACAACTTGCCAATAATGTAAGAAGCTGTATAGAACTGAGAGCCTGCATTTGCAAGCTATATTTTTGAGAAATGTTGTAATGCAGCGACTGAAAGTGAAGACTGAGCATCTGAAATGAAACTGTGGAATGTCTTTGATGCAAAGAATGATTTGTGTTTTTGTTACCTGGACAATCCCCACTGAAAGTTTAAATGTGTGATAAACTTAGATCACTTGTGCTTTGCTGCCTACTAAGTTAAGTAAAAGTGGCTGTCTTGCTTATAAGTAAACATTTCACAAAATTCATTGCTAAATGGACATCCACTTTTGCAGTGTTGCATTATTTTCACCTTACAACATATATCATGTGGTCCCTTGAGTGTGTGTGTGTAAGAAAAAGTGAGAGACTGGACCTTTTTGATGTTTGTGTATCTGCAGGTTAAGAACCAAGATGTAAAAAAAATCTGCAAATATACTAACAGTCCAATGCTAATTGTAATTCTGCAGGGTTTGGTCTAAGGATGAGGTCATGAGGGTGTTGAGGGTTACAGTAAAATGGTCAGTAGAGGGAGCTATTTAACAGTATGTCAGGACTGACGAGGTATCTGCATAATGCTTAAAATATAAGACTGACTTTTTTAATGCATCTTGGAGTTTTCTCAATTAACTTAACTTTAAAATACTAACAGAAATAAAATCATATTCAAAGAGGTCTAAAGTGGAGGGTTCAGAACTGGAAACCCTGTCAGTCCTGCTTTGTTTGAGACCAGATAAAAAAGGCACCAAAGCAAGCAGGGGGCATGATAAGACTAGCTCCGATTTCTCTGCACCACCAAACAAAAGCTTTCTGCAACGAGTATCAAACGTTTGGTTTTCTGTTTTTCCTCAGCTTTGTTTTGTAATGATTTCACTGTAAATGACCATTACTGTGTAAATTAAAGCAAACTGTCATCTGAATAAAAGGAAAAAAAAATATATATGCTTCTTTTGTTATTTGAATTTCTCACTGGACACAATAAACAGACAATAAGCAATGAAAAAGCCAACAAATACGAGGTATAAAGTTAAAATTTTATTTTTATAGGCATCCACTGTACACAGTATTGACTTACATGTTCAACTCTTCTTGGGGAGGCCTCTTTTTAAAATGATGTATATTTTTATGGTTTCAGAAAGAAGTTTACAGTGCTTTGCAAATTGATTTGCACTCCTTGGTTTTTATTTTAACATAATTTAACAGTAATTTATTTTATAGTTACAGACCTACACAAAGTGGTGCACAACTTTATAAAGTTGAAGGAAAAAGATAGATGGGTGTTCAAATTTTCCACTACCGGTAATAAAAAAAAAGGAAATGGTGGTATTCATACAGTTTCTACATTTTCAACACAGTTATGCAAAATGAGAACACCAATTAAACACAATTAAAACCACGTTCTAGGAAACCAACATAACGCATCTCCTTTCAGTACCCACACTGCAAAAGATGGCATTGCAATCATTAAGCTGTGGGGATCTTTTGCTTTGGCTGTGACAAAGAAAGTCATTAGAGTTAATGAGAAGATCTAAAATACTGACTAAGACTGATTTCCAGCAGAGTGGGGTTTTTTCATACCACTCTGCTGGTATGAAAAACCCAAGACAAAGGTATTTTTGAACAACAGTTTAAAGTGGTAATTTAAGCAATGAACGGTAGGGCTGTAAACATATCATTGGACAACATTTTATATATATATATATATATATATATATATATATATATATATATATATATATATATATATATATATATATATATATATATAAAAGAACATAAAACTCATAGATTTTAACATATTGTGATCATGTTGAATTGGAGTGAAAACCTTTGCAAGGCACTGTATTAATGTTGCTTTCCTTTTTTAAAAACAATGGTAGAATATAAACTACTTTTACATGGGTGTGTCTTAAATGTGTAGAATAACACTGGTGATTTACCTTTTTCATAGTTTCACAACCTTTCTTTGCTATTATACAACATTTCACATGCAAATCTTTTAGCTTTACGATTTAGAATATTTTGGCACTTTTTTTATGTTTAAAGGAAGACACTTACTTTCACTATATTATTTTATTAACATGGTATGATGATGTTTGTATGTTTGCTGTATATACAATGAGTACCAATTCTTGAATTCTGGCGAGGTTTGACCTCTTCTTCGCCATCTACAAAGTTACATTCAGTCAGTCGGTTTCTCACCTAGGAGCCTATTTTTGCAGAAAATTGACACAAATTATCTTATATCGTGACTGAAATGTGTTAATGATGGTAGCTTTCCAGCAGACCAGTCAGGATACAAAGATTATAATCCACAATACTAAGTGACTGAACGGGAAGAGTATTTGACTGAAGCTAAAGTACTTGCCTTTTATGTTTAGTTGATGTGTCAAAAGACAGCACATGCATTGAACAGATCTACATTATGTATGCTGGAAAAGCTTGCATAATGTACAAAGATGTCAAACAAAGGCCAGTCTAAGGATGTAATAGCAAAGCTAAATCAGGTCCACCTCCCTCTCTATTCCCACGTACTTCAGAGCATCTGCTTGGCTGTATCTGTGGGTGAAAAAATGAAGGTAACAGTTTACAGAATAGAATTATAAAGATAAAAAAAAAATGTGTGTAGGCCTTTTACTTTTAAAACATTAGGGAGTCACATAAAGCCAGTTACTGTACCTGTAGTCAAAGAAGAGCTCCTCCCCCTGCAGGATAGCTCGCTTGGCAAAGATTCCAATACGGTGGTCTCCATTAACCATCACAACTGCATTGGTGGTAAAAAAAAAAAAAAACATCACCAAACAGAAGTCCTCAGGAAAAACCCTGATTCCAAATTGCAAATGAAAAACTCACCTTTAGCGTAGCAGTTGGGATTAACTGAATGATTTGCAAACCGTATTTTGTTCCCCTTTCTTGTAGCATCCACCACAAAATCTGCAGAGACAGTATTCTAGTTCAGGGTTTTTGAAGTAGGGTTCAGTTAAACGTTTGTGACATATTTTATATTTTGCCAATCTATCTTGGATTCCTATTTTTATATAAATCTAGGTTTAAGCTCATCAAATCCAGTCTCAAACATTACGGTGATTTATGTAAGTGCTTTATCTAAAACCATCAAACTCTTGTCACATTTTCGGTGGCAGGTCATTTATTGATAAAAGGAGGTAGAGGGAAATGAGCCACCAACAATCCTCCTATGGTAAACATGTACTAAGAGCATTAAGTGTTTAAAACCCCATTTAAACTATCCTCTTAAAAAGATCCTTGCCAATTTTGTACTGAGCTCAGTTAATCGGTTCCTTCCATCACGCTAGCACGGTTCCTCCCCTCCTAGTGACGATCTAAAGTACTACAGCTCTGCAGGATTGAAGGAGGGATAGAGCTAATTAAAATGGCTTATGTTTGTTTGCTATGTTTGGTTATAATTGGGACATTTTGTTGTTTGCAGGGAGACAGGCAAAGAAGGCAGCCTTTGGTGAATTACTTGACAGAGTCGGCTTTTGGGAATTGGATACTCAAACGATAGTTTATTCAGGGCTCACAGATGCAGGAAAACAATGACAGAGATTGAGGTTCATCACACTGCTAAGCAGAATCATCACTGGAAAGCGTGTGGCACGGTAGGGAAGCCGGTATTTTTACGAATGTCTGATATTTCATGATTATGGAGGCTGACTGTAAGGAGATGACGCGGTCTGCTCAAGTGCTCTTTGTTAGCTGAGAACTGAGCCTGAACTGAACCGCTCTGAGTCTACTGATGAAATAGTATCAGTTAAGCACGGTTTGGTTGTGTCTGGCACGGTCCGCTTCAGTTTGCATTCCATTTACAAGCAACAGTCATCTCAGTTACCGTGCTCGGACCGATCTCAACACAGTTTCAAAAGGATAGTGTAAATGGGGCAATAGTGAAGGTAGCTGTATGACATCAGATATTTGTGTATAAAGCAAAACATTTAGTGATTTAATTTGTTTTTACTGACTGTGCATCGGTTAACCATTCTGTTTGATAACCAGTCTGAAAAGAATCACATAATTTGTTCCATTCATGTTTCAGACACGACAAACTGGTTAGTAGCACCCTGTTTTCAACCTTCTGTTTTATTTCTATATAATCATTGACTTCTGTATAAAAAAAAACTGTACAAAACATGTTAAAGATAGTTTAAAATTCACAAACCTGCTTTTTGTACATATCACTACTTTAATGACAGCAGATTTGTGTAAGTAGGCTTGCACCTCAAAAAAATACATCTAAAAAAGTATTTTTTTTCCCCTAAAATAAGCTAATTTTTTTCTTGAATTGAGGAGGTGAGTGAGGCATAGGTAATGGAACAAGACAAATTACATTTAAAATAATAAGAAAAAAAAGCATTTTCTTATTTCAACTGCATATTGCTAAATTATCTTATTTTAAGAGTAACATATTAATTCAATTGGCAAATCATCTTAAAATAGAATTAAGGGTAAATACACTTTATTCAAGAAATGTTTTCTTATTTCTAGATCGTTTTTGCAGTGTGGGCCTTAGCTTGCCATTATGCCTAATAAAGATGCTATGAGTCATATCTATTCAAAATAAGATACCAACTGCTTATTATCTTTAAAATGAATTTCAATTCAAACATCCGAAACTTTCATTTCAAGCATTACCTGATAAGCTTAAATAAAACGTCTGGTAGTTCATAGCAGCAAGAAAAGGGAAAACTTGCCATTGTTCAAATTGAAAAGGAAGCTTGACATGTATTTGTCATAGATCCTTCCCCGTCGGTCTGCCTCGTCTTGAGAGATTAACTGTAGGTATAAATGAAACATATCTTTGTAAGAAGCAATTGTGAATAAAACATTTAAACAGAGATCTGATTAAACTGTTTGGACATGCCTCTCCGCAGTACTCAGAGATAAATTCATTCTTCTGCACAGGTTCCTTGATGAATGTTCCCCAACCAGCAACATCTGATGGAGCCAGCAGCAGGTGCTGAAAAAGAAGCGGCATATTAAAGATTGTTTTCATGGTGCGCAACAGAATCCGATGTCATTAGTGTCGGGCTCCTAAATGAACCTTTTTGAGGCCTCTTTGGATGCTGCAGTTCTTACAGGAGACCACTTTGCTGTCCCAGTGGTCTGCGGCTCCACAGGTCATGCAGAGATCTGGGTCGCACTCTCTCACTGCCAGGTAGCACGGACACTGTTTGGTGTTACACTGGGTTTTGCAACGGCAACCTGGGAAACGGTTCTGGCCTGAAAACCATTTAAACACAAGGAAACCGTGACCAGGAGAATCAGGAAACCAGATGGGCAAGCAGATCATTTTGGCCACTGGTAAAGTTTTTTTTATCATTGTAACCTAAAAGGCCAATAAACAGCAAAAAATGTAAACCTAAAGAAGTCTTTTTTTCTTGAATTGAAGAGGCAAGTTATAAACTTTGCCAGTTAAACATCACAATTCACATTTAAAATAAGAAAACAAAAAACAAAAAAACAATTGCATTGTCTTATTTCAGGAGCATATTATCCTAGGTAATTATCTTATTTTAAGAGTAAAAATACTAATTTCATTGGCAAATCATCTTAACCTTATTAACCTACTCAAATTAGGGGTAAATACACCTAATTTATGAAATTTTTAATTATTTCTAGCTTTTTTTTACAGTGTATGTGCATGTATATACAGATTTGTTGCATTCAGCATGTCTTGGGATCATGTGCCATGCATGCATTGCTCCTCCTTACATTTGTTATCCATGGCTAATATATATTTTTATATTTTTCTTCCCTTTTACTCAAATGCAGACTTGCATTTGTTGTGTTATTTTTTTTGTCATAAATGGAAAAAAGAAATATTGGCTTGGAAAATCAGTCCAAAAAAATCTGCAGCACATATCTGGGGCTGGCTAGACTGATGTCAAAATAATCAGTATTGGCCATAATTTAAATGT